TTTTACAAGAAACTTATCTAAAATTAATTGATAATATGCCTCAAAGAGTAGAAGTATATATTGCTAATAATGGTTAGCCAACTAGATACCAATATTTTTCTAAAAAAAATGATAAATAAATGATTTTTTTAAAAATTGTGAAACTTATTTCCATCTAGTGTACAAAATATTATTAATTTTGCACTTTAAAAAGTATATTTAAAACAATTCAAAACTACTAATAATAATTAATTGATCTTTCTTCAAATAAAATAAGAATGTGATTTATTAAATGTACAAATTAATTGGAATTTTATTAAGCTGATTTTTTGATTCATAATAAAAATTTTATAATATTCTCTAAATTCTTTATTATTATTAATTGTATTTCATTATATTTTTATATAAGCTCTTTAAAAATATAATGTTATATAATGTTTATTTATCTCTTATAGTTATCATATTTTAAGTGATTGATATATTCAATATTTATACATTTTAGTGAGATTCATCTAGTATTTCTAAGTATATATATAAATATATTATCTATTAAAAATAAGTATTATTTTTGCATATATTATCAATATAAATGAAAACATATTGAAAACTACCTTTAGTAGAACTCTTATGAAAGTATAAATATATCACATAAGTATTATTTCTAATTTTCTTTATTAGTTGTGATTTTTTTATATCATTTGTTTGTATTAATGTTATGTATAGTAAATAAAATTAATTTTTGTTATATATACTAGTTAGTGTTCTGCATAGATCCAATTAATTTAAATTTAATCTGAATTTAATAAATCAAATTCAAATCAAATTTATTAAGTTTAGATCAGATCAGATTTATTGAATTCAGATTCAGACATCTCCATTACTATTGAAAATAATAATTTAATTTTTAATTTAAAGAAAGTTATTTTTAAGAAAGTTAGTATACCTAATATGAAAAAATCAAAAATTTTAAATTATAGAGTATAAATATTGAGAAGAATTAGTTGAAGAGTGATTCTTCAAATGGTATATTAGCTAATGAAAATAAAATAAAATCTCAATATAAAAGGTTGGCAATGCTTTTTATGACTTTCAAGAAAATAATATTTAAGTTATTATTAATACTATTATCACTAGTGAGTCGAAAAATTTAATCAATATGATATAGCATAATTTTTTTGTTTTTCTTTGTCATATAATTATATAATTCTGAATACTTACTTAATATTATGCTTTTTTTTCCTGCTTCTTATTATAAAACCTTCTAAAAAAACATATTTATGTTATTGTAATTTAAGCCCTTTTCCAAATAAGTGAATCATAATAAGAAAATAATTAAAGTTGAAGAGGAAAGCAAGTATTTACTTCCGGATCTAAACTGCTTTCTTATTTTCATTTCATCCAGAGACTGTTTGATAACTTGTACAATTTCTTACTTTATTGTCAATATAACCAATCAAGAATATTTCTATGAAAAATAGCACATGAAATGATTTTGTTGAATTACTTGAAGGTCTTCAAAAATTTTTCGGTCTTAAAGGTTCAATGATGGATTATGACTTTATTATTGTGAATAAGAAAGTGTAATTATACCCTAAATAAGTCTTTATTGAATTCATTGAGAATAATCAAAAATTCATCTAACAATCCTATTATAATATTAGATGTGAAAGGTATGTAATTTATTATAGTCATTTGTTGGAGAACCCGAAGAATGATCCGGCAATATAGCTGATTGTCTCGTTAATGAAAATCAGGATTTCAAATGAAATAAAATGAAATAGAAAATAATTTTTTTGTATATTACTTTACGAATTTTGTTCTCGGATTGATCAAAAATGATCAACGACTTAAAGCTCAATAATTTTATGTAATTTCAAAATTTTTAAAGAATCTATACTGTATATATTTTAATATTATTATTTAAGACTTATAGGCCATATAATTTTTTAGTTAAATTGATTGCACTTTTAAATAATTTATATTTAAAAAAAAATATAAACGAGTATCGGATAAAATTTTTACTGCTATTATATCCTTTTTTTAATTAACTTTTTCAAGATTATCACTAGTAATTAATTAGTATACTTGAAGTAATTTGATAGCTTTACCATTCCAAATTTTTTTTATATATTATTAAATCAAATTTGGTAAAGAAATCTTGCTAAAGTTCTTTTTTTTTTTTTAGGGTTAAAAATAGGATCTAAAGAAAAAAAAAAGTTTCAAAGATTAAAATTTACATCATACAAATTAAAACAGTGATCAACAAACATTACGTCATTATATTAGCGACAAAGAATAAACGTAATTATTGTGATTTCTTTTGACTCTGTTGTCTAAGTCCCAAAGTGGTAACTTTCTTGGGTAACGAAGATGATTTCTTTTCAACTTTATCGGATACCACGCCTTGAATACTTTGTACTACTTTTTCAACGTTCTCTTTTGTCTTCCTTCGATTCTTCATCTTTTCCAAGACAGGTTGAGCAACTTTTAAATGATGAGTTAAGCATATATTAGTTGTTATACTATTTGATCTAATAAAAGTTTGATGTAAACATAATATACCATTTCTCGCAGCTTGCTTACGCCTTTCGAATTCTTCGCGTTCTTTCATTTTTTGTTCCCCCGGATTCGGAATAATGGATTTAACTGGTCCTTTATGAGGTGTATAGCTCGTTTTCTTGAGACTCTTTCGTGCATCAAGCCTAGAGGAAGTCCGAATCGATCTCGCGTTTGGTTGAACTTCGGTTTGACTAACACTTTTGTCTTTTGTCGAAATAAGACGCATCGATGATCGATTATTAAGTATTGTTCTATTTTTATCATAAGTCCTTTTCGTAACTGGTTTTTCAACCAATTTTTGTTTTTTGAGCGGAGAATGCACAACGTCTGGAATTTTACGTTTCTTATTAACTTCTTTCTGAGTTTCTTCAACATTCGTTGTTTTTTGAGCGGAATAATGTGTAGCAATGGATGGCATCTTTGAAAAAACTTTCTCATGAAGTTGATTGAAACGGTTAATTGATGAAGGAGTTGGCTTAACCAAAGATGTCACGCTATCATTTTTGAAAGGAGATTTTGTATGAATTTCGGTTTTTACGTCATCCGTTTCTAAAATCTTCTTACGTTCAGGGGATGGTAAAGCTCTTAATTGATCAACTCGCTTTTCCATTTCTTCGTAAATGGAAGCAGTAATATTAACAGTATTTTCACCGTTAACTAATGGGACATCCACAGTCTCATTTACAATCTCATCTACAACCTCTGTACTTTTTGGACGTTCATCACAAATCTCCATTGGATCTCCTTGATTAACGATATCTTCATCACTCTCTTGAATTGAATATACATTATGTAAAATAGATTCAAAATTCAATTTAGTTTCAGCTGTGACAAATGGTGAATTTTTATCAAGTGCAGGCCCAGCTTCGGTTTTAGGAGTATGTATTGGCACACGATTTGCTGTCAAAGAATTCGCTTGAACTCCAGATTTTCGAATTGGAGTGGCAATGAGACGTGCCATAAGATTTGTAGACGCTCGTTCTGTTTCTACTGATCGGGCATGTTTTGCAGGAGGTGTCTGAGGCACTATATAAATTGTATATCAGAATTGAGATTACGGAAATTTTATAAACGTATTTTGAATAATTAAATAAGCATCAATAATATTCTATTTACCAGTTGGTGTCAAATCGCAAGAACGGTTTAATGGAGAAGTAAAGATATTGGTTTCTGTGTTCATAATGGATGGTTCTAAATTATTGGGTAGATGCATTAATTAGTAAATAAAAACTAAAGCGATTTAAAATGATCGTTAATCAATTTGAGTAGAATCTTTACGATTTATCTCTAACGCTTCAATGACAGGACTTTGATGTTGGAAAACTATTGTATTCAAATTGTTCTTTCCATCTTTGATGAGCATAAAAAACCATAGCAAATTCAAAGATCAAAAATTAATAGACGCGTAAAATAAAATTAAAAAGTATTTCAGAAAGATACCTAAAACCAATTGGTCAGTATTTTGCTTTTCCGCGACTTCTAAGGTGCCATCTCTCGTTACGTTATTAGTATCAGTTACTAATTGTTGAATATTTACACTTTCCGTCTTTGATACGAACGCGTTATCTAATACATATATACATAAAATATTATATTATTAAAATAAAATGACTTTAATATTCTATCAAAAAGGATAAACATAACGTTAGATCACAAACCCTCTTGTTCCTTAGCAAAATAAGGAAATTTAGGTTTATTATATAGGATGAGAGAAAGGCATGGTTCGGGAGCACTAGTCGAATTCCAATGTCTTGTAGGTTTACTTGAGAGTTTGATGGGAGTCTTATAGTCATGAACAACACTTTCAACTTCGATTCTTTTAATTTCATGTTGATAAGTTGATTTTATATTTGTTGGAGTATCTTCGACTAGAGATCTTCTAATTTTGTTTTGTTGTTCAAGTGGAATTGCGCTTGGTGTTTGGGGAGTAACGGGTTCTGATACACTAACCGCGTATTGGTTTCGTAAGTCAGAAATATGATCAACGTTTGTCATCAATATATCTTCCATGTCATTATCACTTCTTTCAGAATTTAACGCATATTGCCGTAATTTTTTCTGTAGGTCTGTATTCTATTCAAGATCAATTTTAAAACTTGATAATTAACAATAATAATAATAATAATGGTTCTTTTAAAGAAAAATTTGTAAAGAAAATCCTACCTTTCCGTTAGCTTTAAGTCCATATTTCTTACATAATTTTTGAAGTTCGGAACGTTTCATAGAAGAAATAGCAGTGGGTGTCAAAACTATAGTGGAATCTTCCATGTTTGATCAAGATTTTACAGAACGCGTTTAAAAATTTTTTCCAATACTTTAAAAAAAATTTACTTTTTTGAAGGTTTATCAATGAGCTAAATAGGCTAACGAGCACAAAAAAAAATAAACAATGAAGTTTAAACACGATCAATAATATATACATCACATGACATGCGACGCGTCTTGAAAAATTAACTGCGCCATTATTTTGTATAAGCTAAATTCAACTCCTTTTTTTTTACAAGCAATAAATTCCCATTTTTATGATACAAAGCAGATTCAAGAAATTTATAAACCTAAATAATAATATTATTATTATGTAAATTGTATATACATATTTTCTTACGGAAGTTACGCAATTAAAAACAAAATTACCTCTTCCAAGTTCTCGAATTTTTCGGGGTGGTATAACTTTGAATCCAAATTGTAAACTTCAGTAGGCTCCTCGTTATATTGAAAGGGTTTAATAGCGATCCAGTGATAGGATGTCCAAAAATAAAAACGCGTTGTTGGAATATTTAAAATAAGTCCGAAAAGAGATTTATCGGTGAATTGGATGACGGATCGAATATCTAAAGTTAAGATTTTTAATAAGGGATACAATAATTCCATCACAATAACTTTCACTTTCTATATACGACGATACCTTTTCTAACATCGAACCATTGTATTTCCAAATCTTTCTCCCTCAGTGCCATTTCCAAAACGTTAATATCATAATTACCCACTCCACTATGAAATTTCAAAAGATCAATTATTTTATGGAAATGAGAACTATTATCAACATATGAAAAGAACTTACAAAACACTTTTGTGTGGATTGACAAAATAAGAACTCCACGTTGAAAATTCTGAACTAGTTTTTTCGGCCAATTTTAGAGCGACATTGTTGAGCTGTTCGTTTGTGAAAACTTTATCTTGAAACTATTGATTCAAAAAAAAAAAAAAAAAATTCAAATTAATGAATGAATTATGATGAAATATATTGAATTTGTGCATGAACTTACTAGATTATTTAAAGTGTGCTTGTTGAATGCCAAGAATTAATTGCTAAGACCGTCGTTGAATTTACAAACAAATTCTTTTTATTGTATTAGATATAAACTTACCTGACCGCAATAAAACAATCTTTGACGTTCATGATAAACCATTCTTTTCTTGTTAACTTCCATGTCAAACGATAGATATTCGAAAGAGGAACCATTAAATTGCACTATAAGTAGAATTCACGTGATAAATACAAGTTTAAAAACCCGGGTACAGTCCCTTCGAGAGATTTCGAGAAGCGCTTAGATCATGTCGCAGGCATGTGATTTCTAAAGATATACTGAAATTTAAGCGTCATCCAAACTTGAAAATCGCACTCATTCGAATCAATTGAATTTCTTGTCATTAAAGAAAAATTGTCATCGGTTCCAAAAATTACATCAACAGTAGGGGAAAAAATCCAAGCGGAAGATTTCATTATCATGTCAAAATATATCATTAATAATGTATCAAATTTTCTCAATCATCAACCGCATGACCCAATAAAAAATTATTTATCCTCAAACAATTACTTGTGTTAAACCTACAGAACTATTAATAAAACACAAAAAGCGTTAGACCTGATTCGATCAAAGAGAGAGTCTGACATCTTAGCAGATGCCATCGGAAGAAAAATTGGGCACATATGAATACCCTTTTACTTTATCATAACCATAAATGATTAAAACCTCATCTCATGATCTGTCACGAGCCTAAAAATTATGGTGACACGGAGATTTACGATTCATTATGAAACTTAGGATGTTTCTTTTTTATTTATAATATCTACCTAAAAATACGCGTTACATTTTGTTATCTTTGAGCCAATAATATTTAAGACATGGGTTTTTTCTTTTTCTTTTTGAGTTCAACGGGAATATGGTTACTGATTAAATTTACATGCACATTATTAAAATTTATATCATTATATTCTAGAAATGAAATATTTGATCCATCTACAACTGCGAATAAAATATTTTTTATAGATGAAGAGGAAATTTGTGATGATGTGAATAATTTGTAAAGAGTTGATGGAGACGGAGGTTTTTGTGTTTCAGCACTAAATATAAATAAAAATATATTAAATTATATTAATTCAATGTGCACGAACATTCATGCAGTGATGTGGTTTTTTTTTTTAAAAAAGAAAATAAAATACCTTGCTACAACAACGTGAAATAAAGGTGTTCCGGGATTTTTTTTCTTGAATTTACCAGGTGCAGATTCTTTATACACCAGAAAGTCAATATTATAATCATCATCTTCAGCGGTGGTATTATAATGTAACAATGAATGCGTGATTGACGATGATTCGATTATTTGTAATTTCTTATATACTTGTTCTGTCGTTTAATGAAGGCCAGAAAAGAAAGTTAAACGAAAAAAAAAAAGGGAAAATAATCTATGAGGTATTTAGAATGTTATTGATTTACCATATGTTTCACATTCACCAGATCCAACTAAAGTTTCTCCTCTTTGATCCGCTGTATCTTCTTTGTTATTTGTAGATTTGGTAGTTGAAGGTTCTGATGAATTGAGTAAATTTGTAATGTAGATGAATGGAGAAATGATGAAGGAACTTAGTCGATTAAAAAGCCATGAAAAATGTAATCGTTGCGGTTGTAATTGATGAGATGTGGAATTTGTATGTGAAAGAGGTTGAGATGTTGATTGCATTTGTGAGGATAATGAGGAAGTACTCATAATATTTGAAGATGATTGTGCTGATTGTGAATATTGCGTTCTTAATACCGTAAACCCAATCCTTTTCAAATACGAATAAACCTAAAAAATAAAGTTCTAATCAATTAAGAAATTCCGTAACGCTTATTTCCTTGTTCCCTTACCTGATATTTCTCTAACGTTAACCACCCGCCTATCATTTCGCAATACGCATGTTGTAGGGACATCTCCACATCATGGCATTGTATGCTTAATGAACATCTGTCCGTAAGAAACAAACATTCTTCAGGATATAACCACATTTTTCCTTCTACAGCATGTCCCATGTTATGGAAATGTGATCCTTTACTAACAGTGATCATTGCCTTCGATATTGGAGCTGGATGCCAAATTGCTTTACATAATTGCCGACTTAAAGCATCAGGAAAATGAATCAATAAAGGTAAAGTCGTTAATGCGCGAAAAGTCACGTGGAAGACAACAGACCTTTTTTTTTACCTTGATACATTTCGTTCTTCACTTAATGCTTTTTGAAGAGCATTTAATGAATTTGAGAGTGTGTCACGTTGGCTCTCTGATCCATCTGGTTCGAAATCTTTACTGCCACGTTTTGGTATACCTCCACCACTTTTTCTAATTTTTTTTTTTTTTTTTTTTCAAATAATTCAATTAAATTTTTTTTTTTCTTGGAATATTTTATATTTATATTAGAGCTCAAATCAAGTTACTTTTCTTTGGCAAATAATGATATGTAATCAATTTCTTGGTTAGTATCGTCATCGTGCTCAATTTCCTCCTTAATTTCTTCAGTCGTGAATTTTTGCATTATGAAATAAATGATAAAAAACGGAGGTAAAAATTTGTTTTGAGTTAAATATGGTTGGCTCGATGTGGCACAGCTGATCTTAATTGATTGGTGAACACAGGTATGTAGATATACCCTTATGGATTTTCTAAAAGATTGATTTTACCAAAACTTTAGTTAGGCTTTCTGTGGATTTAGGTCTGTTTGATTCTGACAATCTAATGACATTATTTTAAAACGAATTGCCAAGATCTTGCATTTGGAATCTGGAATTTTAAAAGTGCCATTTTATGGATTACATTCCTGATCCATTTAATTACCAACTCCCTGAGATGCTAATCACGAATAAAAAAAAATCCATATACGAGTTAAAAAAATAAAAAAAAAACCACATGAGACCTTGTAATTGAAAAGGGGAAAAAATCAATTTTACTTTAATATGGCAAATGTGTTTCGATTTTAGCATTAGCTCATTTATATTTTTCCCGGCAGTTTCCCTTTTTCTTGCAATAGGCAAAGTGATTGGCGAAATTTTGCTGAAAGAAAATTTCATTATTGAAAATACCTGTAAGCCACAATTTACCTTGCAAAAAATTGTAACCTATAAGATATCTGAACACGTCATAATCATAAATCAAACAAAAAGTAATTAATTATACTAAAAGTTTGAAAAGACTGAATGATAACGCATTAACAGAACAGATCTCCTTGTGATTTATTCTGGTATCCATTATTCAATTTTGTCCTATTATGCAAACCACTCCATTATCGTTCATCTAAAATTAACAATTTCAAGTGTTTGGCATTCGTTTATAGGATCAGGTTTTCTTTAATAGGAACTGAATTTCCAGTACAGAACTTGGAGAAATCAGCTTTAATCGTAACAAAATTATCAAAACCTTTCTTTTACCGATACAATTTTTATCGAATACTTTGACATTATGCTTATTTTCAATAAGGTAGTTCAAAGCGCTTCACATTTCAAAAAGAACTATTTTGGGTCATGATGAAGGACGGATCCAACGATAACCAGAGAAGCGCTCGCCCTGAAATATTTTGATAAGTTGGTCATAACCCAGCTCCTCATTATTGTATTGAAAAGTTTGAATTTTCAATGAATATATAAGCGTGAAAACTACATAAAAGAGAACTTTAACACAAGTTATATAACCATGAAGACAAAGAAGCACAGGTTTATTAAGACTCACTTATCAGTAGCAACAAGTTGATCTATGGTAACGTGATGATAAGAAGCTAATACTCAGCATAGAAGCAACAGTTAGTAAAAGCTATTTTTGTATTCGATTGAATGTCTATGGAAAAACATAACAGGCTCTAAGAAAGTTTTCAAAAAAGAGTCAATTGCCTCCGGTTCAGACATATATAAGAAATACGTTTTCAGACAAAACTGTATTGCCATAATTCATCTATCCACAACTGTTTTTCATTTTTTTGTTAAAAATGGTCAATGAATTAGTTTTTTAAGGGAGCCTTTTATTTTTTATTAAGTAAAACATTAAGTGCATGCCGTAAAACTCGTATTGCGAAATTTATATAAAAAGGTACTTACAATTTGTAATAGTCCGTTTGCCTTATTCATGAACCTAAATATGAAATCGGAAGACATGATTAAAGAATATTTCAATGGGACATGGGTAGATTGCTTTCACAACATTATATTTATGGATATAATGATTGTAAACTTACAAAAATGAAAATTTCACAAGCGAAATTGTACAAGTATACAAAATATATGAATTACAATCCGTTAATATGATGACCTATATGGGTACCTTTATTGGTGAAAAATGGACTCCATTAGACAAGCGCCTGTGACCTTTTTTAATGTATCATAAAAAACATCATATTTTTTCTTGTTCGTGTTTTTCAAGATAGTATTTTTTTTTTTTTTTTTGACACCAACTACTAATTTTAAACAATCCTCTACAGTTCTTAGAATGTCAACATGGGCAAGATTCATGGTAACAACAGTATCTTCAAGGAGAATTTGAATGCTATGTTTTGAGCTGAAATTCAATTTGATTACAGAATATAAACTTTAATAATTTTGATTCTATTTCACGTGAGAAGCAATCGCAAAAAAAATAAAGAGAATATTTCTCGAGATCTCCTATCCTTTTTTGCTCTATCTTGATATTTAAGGTTTCTTTCAATTTATCATATAAACTTTCCGGAAAATACCATTTTCTTAAATTGGTCTGTTATATATTTCTTGAACCCTTGAAGCAATATTTAAGACATTCATTATTATTAATATCAATAACACAGATGCATTAAGACTTTATGATATTTGAAAAGGTTTATTACATTAAAGTTTTTGATGTTATTAGATTAAATTCTCAGAACCAGATTTTTTCTAGCATTTTCCCATTTCACATTCACATTTATTCATGGTTTTCATGATTGAGGTGCAAACTTCTATAACAACATTATCAACATCATATATTAATTTGTGTTTGCAATTTATATATTTTTTTTCATTTTGCTGAATTAAAAATATCAATGTATTAAAGAAAATATAATAAAAAAAATTAAATGAGAATGATTTTATCAATAAGAGTAATAAAAATATAGTTGATAATGATTTAGAAAATGTTAAAATAGCAACAAATGATGTATTAACAATGGAAATAAACTAGAATTCTGAATGAGTCGAGTCGAGTCGAGTTTAAAGATCAACTCTATTCAACTCATTTTTTTCGAGTCGAGTCGAATCGAGTCAAATTTATTTTATAAAATCTTTCAACTCAACTTGATTCGAGTTATATAAATTTTAAACTCGACTCAATTTGACTC